CACAGGGAAACAATGAGGCCTTTGGTGATTGTGCGGGATCCACCCCCAGCTTCCCAGTGTGTCCCCTCTGCGGGCTGGATCCGGGTGGCTGCTTGGGGGTGGGGCAGGGGGCCCTGAATGGGCCCCTTGTCTCAGCCCTGGGTGTGGGCCAGGCTTCCCGGGCACACAGTGCCCTCGCCAGGCTTGGCCAGCCTCTGTGGCTTCCACCCCCAGCTGGCTGAGGACGGTGCCCTGCGAGTGAGCAGGCCCCTCCCAGGCAGCCTCAGCTGGGCTCCCATCCCGGGCCCTAGAGGCAGGTAGGGATAAGGATCCCATCTAGTGGGGAAGAAGGGAAAAGCAGCTGCCTCAGCCTCGGGAGGACCCTGTCCCCAGACCAGAGAGGACCCTTAGAGAGCTGGATACTGGAGGCCGACCTGAGTTGGACTCCCCACACTACAGCTCCCTATTATTATGACCTTGGGCAGGTTCTCTGGTTTCTCTGAATCCTTGTGGGTAAAATGGCACTGACAAACCTACCTGAGGGCTGCTGTGAGAATTGTAGGACATCATATACAGAAAATGCCCAGCGAGTACCAGGTGCTCCATAAATGTCAGTTTCCCTTCCCTGTCTCTGGAGGAAGAAGGGCTGAGGGCACAGGAATTGGCCTGGAAGGGCCTCGGGGGTTGGGGTCAAGGCCAGGCAGGCTCTCACAATGGGCTAGAACTCTCCCTCACTCTGGGTTCTCATTCACTTTGACTCCTCTCCCTGTCCCAGGGAGGGGAGGGAAGGCCTAGGATGAATCGTCAGGGGGAGCTTTCCCCCTAGATTCTCTATTTCTTTCTTCACTGCTGCACTTGAAGTTCCCAAGAGACCCCTTAGGTAGCAGCCACTGGCCTGCAGCTTGTCCCCCACCCCCCATACCAAATGCTAGTTTTGCCCCCTACTTGGGACTCGTGAATTGGGAGAAATGGCTATAGTCATACGGTTCTTCCGATGGGTTTGGCTAAAGATTTCTTACGTGGTGAGTTTCCTCCCTCATAACGTGCTGGGGTGGGAAGTGCTGGTCAATGACTTCTAGGTCACAGAAACACCCCCTCTACCTGGCCTCCCTCCCCTTCTGGCTTCCTGGGGTCAAACAAGACAGGCAGAGAGAAGTGAGGGGTGGGACAGTCAGGGAGGAGGCCAGGACACACACTGTCCCATCCCTTCCGTGCCTTTCCTTCTTCTAACTGTTGTCTCCACTCTGGCCCTTTCTCCTGTCCTTCCTCTCCCTTCTTGGTTCTTAGGTATTTTTCTGGAAGCACAAAACTAAGTCAGCCATCTCGGAACACCCTGACTCCAAGAAAAAGGCGTGGAAGATGGAGAAGGCTCCCAGTGTGGTTGAGACTTTCAAGTTGGTTGAGCCCCCTAAAGAGGCTAAGGCCTCCAAGATGGAAGTGTTACTCAAGGTGGCCGATCCCTGCGTATTGGCCAAGACAGCAGATGGGTCTAAAGTGGAGCCGGGCCGTGGGGGCCGGTCCCTGTTGCAGCTGCCCCAGACAGCTGTCAAATCTGTCTCCACCCTCATGGTCTCGGCCCTCCAGTCTGGCTGGCAAATGTGCAGCTGGAAGGTCAGTACCATATCCCCCTTGTCCCCAACAACCTTCCCACCGCTACCCCCATGACTCATTCCTCCCTCCATTCACTTGTTCAGCATTTATTTCCTGTACCTCTACTTAGGGCCAGGTGCTGCGGCAGGGTCGGAGGATACATGGTGAATAAGATTTACCCAGACTAAAGGGCCTACAGAGATCATAGGCATTGTTGGTTCAGTATCATAGGGGTGTGGCATGGGAGGCACGGGGTCTGTGGGAGCCCAGGGGAGAGGCAACTCATCCAGGCCTGGGAAGTCAAGGAAGGCCTTCCTAACAGAAGAGAGGGTAAAGCTGAGATCGAAGGATTTACCTTGGCTTGGAGCAGGGTGGAGGTGGTTAAAGGAAAGTGGAGGGAGTGAAAGGAGCATTTATGAAGGAAGAGCATGTTTGGAGGGCTGGCTCAAGGTGTATGGGTCAGAGTAAAGCAATCCTGGAGCTGAGGGTCAGCTAGTACAAGGGAGGGTTGGTGGCTAGTTGTGGAGTTTGAATTTGGCCCTAAGAGCAATAGGAAGGAGGCCTTGCAGACATTTGAGCGGAGTGACACAATCAGATTTTGATTTAGAAAGCTCACCCGCACTCCTACGTTGCTGGTGGGAATGTAAAATGGCACAGCCACTCTAGAAAACAGTTTGGTAGTTTCTTTTTTTCTCTTTTTATTGATTTCAGAGAGGAAGGAAGAGGGAGAGAAAGATAGAAACATCAACGATGAGAGAGAATCATTGGTCAGCTGCCTCCTGCACACCCCCTACTGGGGATCAAGTCAGCAACCCTGGGCATATGCCCTGACTGGGAATTGAACCATGACCTCTAGGTTCATGGGTCAGTGTACAACCATTGAGCAACACTGGCCAGACCAGTTTGGTAGTTTCTTATAAAACGAATCATGCAACATTCATATGACCCAGCTGTTGTACTCTCGGGCGTTTATTCTAATGAATGAATGAAATTTTATGTTCCCACAAAAATCTGTACATGAATGTTCATATTAGTTTTATTTGTAATAGCCAAAACCAACCCAAATGTCCTCAATGGGTGAATGGTTAAACTGTGATATATCCATTTTCAGCATAAAAAAGAACAGACTATTGATACATGAAACAACTTAGATGAATTTTAAGGGAATTATGCCAATGAAAATAACCAAGCCCTAAAAGTTATATACTTACTGTGTGATTCCATTTATATGATATACCATTCTTGAAATACTAAAATTATAGAAATGGAGAACTGATTAGTGGTTAGTGGTTGCCAGGGGCTGAGGAATCCTGTGATGAAAATCTCCTGTATCATCTTGACTACAGGAGTTGGATACGTGAATCTGCACATATGATATAAAATTGGGTAGGATTCAACACACACACACACGAATACAAGTAAAACTGGGGAAATGTGAATAAGATCAGTGGAGTGTATCATTGTCAATATCCTATGACATTGTGCTAGAGTTTTGCAAGATTTTACTATGGGGGCCGGGGACTACAGGGTAAAGGTATATAGGAACTCTATTATTTCTCACAACTACATATGAATCTACAATTATCTCAAAGTCAAAAACTTAATTTAAAAAAGGGAAATGTGTAGATCTTGGCCTTGAATGAAGTATTGCAGCATTAATTTAAAATCACTTGGCTGCCCTGCAGAGTCAGAAGGGGACAAGAGGAAAGGCAGGAAGACCCACTGGAGGTGTTGCAGTTGACGCTGAGAGAGGAGGATATTCTGGACTGGGGGAGAGGCATCAGGTAGAACAAGTTCATGGATTGGAACGATATTTAAGGGGTAGAATTGTACCAAGTGTTTGGTTGGAATATGGTGAGGGGATAGAGAGAAACAGAAGTCAGAGAAGGCTGGAGCCATCAAGGGGAGAGAATAAAGGAGCAAGGACATACTTAGGAGAGGAGATGATGAGTTTAGGCTTTGGGACAAGATGAGTTAAGATGCTGATAAGACATCTGCAGAGAGATGTCTAGGAGACAGTGGGAATATACAGACCTGGAGGTCAGAAAGGAGCTCGGGGCTGGAGACAGGTCCTTTTTCATCTTAATATACTTTCCATGGAACACTAGTGGGGACCCAAAGGTGGGTCAGACATGGTCCCAATCTTCCAGGAGCTTGCATTATAGTGTTGAAAACAGACAAGTCTGCAGAACAAAGTGATGAAACGTGGTATGACAGGGCAAACACAAGGGTAGAGACGAATGCCTAATGTAGACTGAGACAACTTCCTGGAGGAGGCAATACCTGAGCTGAGGCCTAACAAAGGAAGTGGAATTAAAAGCCTTTGCTATTTATTTGCAGGTGAAACCTGCAGTTTCTCCCTAGACCGAGCTGTTTACATGTGCACATCTCTCTCTTTCAGTCATCTGTGAGTTCTACCTCAGTTCCCTCCGAAATAAGGACTGGGTCCCCTTTGCAGTCACCGGAAGCTGAGATGCTGCGGGAAGTGTATCTGGTGCTGTGGGCCATTCGGAAACAACTACGGCAGCTGGCCCGCAGGCATGAGAGGCGCAGACGGCGCCACATCTGTGCCCACACTAGCCCCAAGCCTGAACCAGTTCAGGGCCTGAAACAGGATGCCCGGAGTCCCCTCTAGGGGGGAACCCCACATCCTTCGAAAGCCCCCACCTCACTCTTAGGTAAGGTTGATAGGAGAGGCTAGGGCTGCAGGCCAGGAGTTGTGGGCGAGGAGACATTTTCATACCGTCACCCCTCATCAGGAGCCCAGGGCCAGGCCTGGGATCCCACTTCTCCCCTTCATTTCTTTTATTCAATTTGTAAAAAATTTTCAAAATGTTGGGAAATAAATATCAGATATTTCTGAGTAGGCTTAGAGTGTTTGTGGATGGCCAGAGGCATTAAGGGTAACTTGGGTGAGACAGAGAGGGGCACCTGAGTTGCTGGATCAAATATGTTTGGGAGTAACCTCTGGGCCTTTTGGGAAGGTGTGAGAGCTGGGGGAGGGGATCAAAAGGACCTGGCCCTGGGCCCACACGCACACTTAGGGGCTGAACTGTCTCTGCCTGGCCAGTAAAGATAGCAATAGCACCTGTTCGTTGAGTACACCCTGCGTGCCTGGTCCTGAGCCTGTTCTCCCTCGAAATACATTTGTCCAAGGCCCTACAAAGACCTCGCTGGAAACTGCCCCCTCCAGCAGCCAGCCCACTACCCTGCCTCTCTGGCACTCTTGGAGTCAGTGAGTCTGAAGACGCGTATGGCGAGAGCAGGCGTAGCGTCTGTGGGAACCGCACCCGACCTCGCTGCCAGGGGCCCCGCCGAGAGCCGCGGAAGACTACACGTCCCAGGGTTCCCGGCGGTGACCGGGCAGAGGCTGGCCGCCCGTGGCGCTGCAGCGTGGAGAGCGTGGGCTCTGCGCTGCGGGCTGAGCGCGTGGGTACGAAGTCCTGGCAATGTGGGGGGAGTTTGGTTGGCGTGGTGGGCGGTGGGCGGTGGGCATGGAGTCGCAAGTTCCCTCTCCAGTTTAGCCTGCCCTCTTGAGAGGCCACGCAAAGGCGCAGGAGTGGCTCCCCAAGGAAAAGCAGGGAGGTTTCGCAATACAGCAGCGTTCGGGGATTTCAAGGTCCGCAGGGCTTGGGGTGGGAGGAAGGAGGAAGGGATGGCAGCTGGGCCCAAGCCTAGGGGGCAGCAGAGGCCAGGGTGGGAAGTTGGGGAGAGGGCGGACTGCTGTGCTGGGCAGTCTTGCTCACGGAGAGATTAGTTGTGAGTAGCAGACAGAGCAAATGAGCGAAGCTAGAGATAGTGAGGAGCTACGGCGATGGTTCTCTAGAACGGTCAGTAAATACCCTAACCCCCCTTCTCCTCCCCAGCCCTGCAGCTCTGGGAGGGTTGGAGCCACTTGCTGGGAATCCGGGTAGCCTTTCTCTAGAGTCCGGAGTAGTACTGGGCCACCTCACCCTACAGCTCTGCTACCCAGAGCCTATTAGCGGCCCGCTGCACCTCAGCACTTAACAGCCACAATTAATATTAACCACCACTTATTAAGCACCTACAATGAGTAGTTTTATGTGTTATTTTAAGTAATTCTCACAACAGCTTTATGATTGTTATTGCTTCCATTTTTTAGAGGAGAAAACCGAAGCACAGGTCATGTTTTCATTCATCCGACTAATGAGCCTTGCTCACACAGGACATATTACAAACATGTTACATGTATACTCACATATGTGATATAGCAGATGTTCAATGCATGAATGAAGTCGCTTCGTTGGGAATTAGTCCTGAGTTCTGCCGGAAGTCAAAGCCTGTTTTCAGGTGGGTGCTCAAAACAGACTGATAATGTAGTGGCTCATTTGTGGGGTTTTCAGTTACCAAGTACTCATCACACCTCCATTATGTGCCAAGAATGTACTGGGGCCAAACAGGCCGTGCAGGGTTTGTGTCCCAGGAAGCCCAGAGGTGTAATGGGACCCAGGGCTTTGGAATAGTGCCTCACTGTGGATCCCAGTAGTGTCTGGGATCCACTGTCTAAGTCCTTCCAAGTCCTTAGAGACAGGCTCCTCTTCCTGTCTTCCTATTGGGGACCTAAGATTTTAACTGAGATTAGGGAAGGGTCTGGGGAAGGCTGAGCCCCTGAGGGTCACTGGTAAATAGCCTTGCAAGTAGCTACAGGCCCAGGAGCCAATCTTGGCTTGAGGCTGTGGGCTTATGGGAAGGAACACTGCTCTCACTTTCCTTTGGCTTCTGTAGCATCTTGGGAGTCTGAGGGCGGGAAGAAGAAGGTGAATTCAGCCAAGGGAGCTCCTGGCACCTCCTACCCCCCACTCTCTCCCCAGATATAATGCAGTCCTATCTAGGCTTGACCATGCTGGGGCAGAAGATTTGTGGGAGAGAAAGGGGCAGAATGGAAGGGGAAGGTCCATAATCCAGCCCAGAGCCCTGAGGCGGCCTGTGGTGGGACCTGAGGAGGAACTTCCAACTGGGAGGGAGGAAAGCATGTGCGATCTGCTGGGTTGGAGTTTGGGGAAAACATTCTTACCCACCCCAGCCCTCTCCTGGAGGAGAGCAATGGGGGACAGGGTGACCCCTGGGGAATTCTGCCTCCCCGTGACAGTCTTGAGCAAAAATTCTACCTTAGACATCCTCCCCCACTGTCCCCATCCTACCGCAGGCACTTCCCCTCCACTGAAGCTACTCGACTCCATGAGACAGAAGTAGTAGGGCTATGGGTGGGCCCAGTTGGAACCAGGGTTCCTTCTTTATTTTCAAAACATACCCATCCTATTAAAGAGGGGGTCCCTGGAAATGTGGGAAGCAAACTGAGAATGATCATCCCAGATGCCTTGGCTCTCTTCCCAGTCCTGACCCTTTGCCCACGTCCCCCATCACCATCAAATTTCCTGAAAATGTCAAATCTTTCCTCCTGTTTTTTCCCTGGGACCCCCCCTACAATCTATTCATCACACATCAAAACATGTCACTGCTTAAACTTTCCAATGGCTTTCCATCATCCTTGGAAAAAAATCCCTTTGTCTAAAATGCCCTTTTCTCAGCTCTTGACATGGTGGGCTCCTTGTCTGTCTGGATTCTATACAGGTGCCACTACGTCTTCAAGGACTCTTTCCCTGACCACCCGACCTAGACAACAGGAGAGACCCACCATCACGGTCATCTTCTATCTCTCACTATGCTTTATTTTTCTGTAGTACTTTAAAGTATCTGAAATTATCATATTTATATTCTCACCCGTATACTTGGGAGGCAGCAGTGAAAGGCAGTACAGAGCATGGGAAGTGGTTTAAGCTAACACTTCCTGGATGCGTAACCTTGGGTAAATTTGTTAACCTCTCTGAGCCTCGGTTCCTCATCTGTACAATGGGGACAGTAATAATACCTTATCATAGGGTTGCCATGATGATCAGGGATATGATATCTGGCACAACATGGACTCAATAAATTTTAGCTGCTATTATGATGATAGCTAAGATTTACGGTTTATGGCTACTATCCCATGACCTAAAACAGTGCTGAATGAACCAGAAAGCAAACCTTCACCTAGTGTGTGGGAAGCATATTCCAGCCAGCTGCCTTGTTGAGGGAACGCGAACGCCATTGAGGAAGTGACAAAAATGCATATGCAGTGGGTAGCAGGAAGAACACTTGACAGAGAGTCCTGGTTGCAATATTGCTGTGGCACTTGGGTGAGTCACTTCCCTTCACTGGGCCTCAGGCTCTTAAAATAAAATTATGGGTTGAACCACTGGTTGCTCTGCTCCCTGCCAGCTTCCAGGGGTTCCCATTTGGGTCCTGAGCTCCCTTTATCCGCTACATACTCTTCAAGGTTAGGGACACATGGTGCCTCCAACTTCCACAGCCCTGCTTCCTAAACAGTTCAAAGCTGTCATGGAGAGAGTTGACCTGGATAACATTCTTGGTTTAAGTCTTTGAACCCAGAGACAAAGTCTTAGCCCTGGAACACTAGATCTTCTTTTTAGCCATGTCTCTTCCTCCCTTGCACCTCATTCACTTTAATATTTGAGCCCTGCGGGAGGAGGGCCAGCCCTGACTGAGCTCCACCAGGGGCTGGGCATGGGCATGAAGGCCTTGGCCTCGAAGTTATTCTCAGACATGCACACAGGGTGTGTGTACAGCTGGATGAACACAGATGCATGTGCCTGTATGTACTTGTGGGTGTCTGTAGTTATATTTAAACTTGTTCCCATTTTCCTCTCATGAGTGGCAGGAATGAGATTAATTAGGAGAAAAGACTGTAGGATTGCAAGGCTGGCATTCTTCAAGGAAGTAAGTCACCAGTCAAATGAGATGTTAGTCTCCAGGATTGTTGTGGTCCCAACATCCTTTGTCTACGCCCCCACTCCAGATATGTCCCTGGTTCCCCAGAACTTGGAGATACAGGGATTTGGGGGGAGCAACTGTGAGGCTCATGGGGCTGGAGCTTTTCAAGGGGCCTGGAGGGCTGCATGCCTAGGAGCAGGTGTTTCTGGTGGTGGGTAATACCGAGTCCTTTGTCCCCTGCATCATTGCTGCTGGATTTTCCAGCACTGTCCACTCCTTACTGAAGTTGTCTGTCTGCCCCTTGGGTCAGTCTGGGGGACTGGGCAGACAGATGATAAGATCTCCGAGGGGGAGATGGACTAACAGAGGGATTTCTTCTTCCTTTCTCAGTCCTCTTTGTTTCAAAACTGAGCCCACTTGCCCCACACTTGTCTGCCCAGATCACCTGGGATGCTTGTGTCTGTCTCCCTGCTAAAGCTATCTACATGTTTGTTTTTGTTATTTTTTTATATTGATGTCTAGAAGCTATTTATGTATCAGGGGCATTAGCCCTTTATCTATGATATGAAGTGCAAATATTTTAACACAGTCCTCTGTTTTCTTTGTTTTTTAGTAACTTTTTATTTTGAGATAACGTGGATTCACATGCAGTTATCAGAAATAGTACAGAACTCCTAGATATCCTTCATCCAGTTTCTTCCCCTGGTACCATCTTTCATAGCTATAGTACAACATCACCATCAGGAAATTGAAATTGATGCAACCCACTGACATTATTCAGATTTCACTCATTTCACATTTACTTATTTGTGTGTGTGTATGTGTATTTAGTTCCATGCAATTTCATGATGTGTTGATTCATATGAACACGACCCCAGTCAAGATGCAAAACAGTTACATCATAGGGTCATCTCCTGCTACCCTTTTATAGCCTTAGCCACCTCTTTCCCTCTCCCCTCTGTAACCTCTAGCAACTACTAA